AGCACGGAACAGCAGTTCAAGAACAAAGAGATTAGAGAACAAAGGAAGGAGAAATTTGAAGGTCTGGGTTTAGTTTGAATAGATGGAAACACAGAGGAAAGATACTGAGCTTGGCGAAGACAGGGAACTTGTGAGTTGCACGGCACATTCCTGCATGCAGAACAAGGTAGACTGGCTTGGCTGACACTGAGTTTTCTAGGAGCTGTTCGAAATAGGGTCAGCCACATGGCCTCAGAAATAGACCACGGCACCTCAAAGGTGCCTAGGAATCTCTACTCCTAGAGTCTATAAACCTGACCCTCACATGGGAAAAAGGGCTTCACAGATGTGATGTAAAGCAAGGGTCTGGAAAGGGCAAGCCTTCCAGATGATGGGTGGGCACAGGGCTACCACAGAAGGGAGACTGGAGGGACGCCCGCACCCGCCCGGGCTGTGGAGAAGGAAGGGACTGGCTCTCCCGGCCCTGCACCTCCAAAGCAAGCCAGCAAGTGCGTGTGGTGGCTTCAGTCACAGGGTTTTGGGTGACTGTGATAGCAGCATAGGAGACTCATGGCAGGTTGAAGAACACAGTGCGGGGTTTAGGGCAGATATCTGTGAAGCAGGGAGCAGAAGATGGAGACAGAACTGAAAACGCAGAAGACAAGGACTGAGAGGGTGACAGCGACACCCGATACAGAGTCACACAGCCCTGAGTTGGCAGGAGTCGGAAGGGCACTGGAGGAGCTCAACAACGGAAGGGGTAAGGAGGAGGGGGAAGGGGAGGAAGGAGAGGAAGAGGGATGGAGGAGCAGGAGGAGGAGGAGGTAGGAGGGAAGGAGGGGGAAGGGGGAAGAGGCGGAAGAGGAAGCCTTGGAAGCCGAGGAGGAGGGCTGAATGAGCGCACGGTGTGGTCCACAGCACAGACCCCCAACCCCAGCCACAGGGCGACCTGTGGGGCCCAGGACCTGCACCCCGGGAACCTAAGTCCACACTCTGAAAAATGTTAATCTAGAAAAACAGAAAAGAAAAGAAATAAAATGCTCATCATAGCTCTAAAAGAAAATACCTTCAATAATATCTGGTCACATGAAAATACAAAATTCTTGTGGATTAAAATAACTATCATACTCAAAATCTAGAAGACATTCATTGAAAAATACTCCCAGCAAATGATTCATATTTTATTTATAGGTCACACAAACTAATAAGCAAAAAACTGAGACCCCCAGTAGACAAATGAGAAAGCACATAAAAATAGACAATTCAAATAAGTACTACAAATATTAAACAAACTTAAGAAATACCAATCAAAACAACAAAAGGCAACATAAAAGCTTGCTAAATAAACAAATACAATTTCTAGAGGGGTAATATTCAAACTGATAAGATACTATGAGTCTTGCACTTCCATACTTGCTGGCTGCACTATAAATCTGCTACAACCACTGTGAAGAGTAATCTGAAGCCAGAGATGGTGGCACATAGCTATAATCCCAGTACTGCGCTTGCGAGGCTGAGCTAGGAGGATGGCGCCAAGGTGGAGGCTAGTTTGGACTGCGTAGGGAGTTCAAGGCAACTGAGCTACACAGCAAGACCCTCCCGCAAAAAATTTTAAAAATTAAATCAAAAAAGAGAAAGCAATTTGGTAACATCTATCAGGCAATATAAAAGGGTCCATGGGCTTTGACAGAAGAGTGCTTCTTGTTTATAATCTAGTTTAAGGACATGGTCTTGAATATGGAGAAATAGAGAAAAATGCAGATACAGACACTGACTGTTGACCACTCACCGTGTGAAGCACACAGTCTATTTAGTTCATAAAACAATACTGGTAAGTGAGCACTCTACTGTCATGTCACAGATGAGGAGTCTGAGGCCCAGGCAGAGCGTGTGACTCACACCGAGAACGCAGAGCTAGGCGCAGACAAACGGGTTTTCTGCTTCTGCAGCTGATGCACACCTCCTACACCTTAGGTACCACCACATGGGGACGTGGCAAGCATGCCAGGATTTATTATTTTAAAATCCAATAACATAACTGAAAGGAAAATAGCAATTGGGTTAAAATAGCAGAAACAGCATTAGGATGAACAGGTAACAATGGGTTATTTCCCCTGCCTTCAACCTCCTACATGATTTAGCATTGCCCCCCAGTCCCCAACTGGAGATTGAGTCCAGGGCCTCTGCCCTCAACTACATCCACAACCCTTTTTTAATTTTGAGACTGGCTGAGTCTGAACTTGAGATCCTCCTGCCTCAGACTCCCAGAGCATTGGGATTACAGACAAAAGCCACTCTTCTTGGCTAAGATTTACCCATGTAATCTAGAAGCAACCTCAGGACAAATAATTTTATGCAGAAAAATAGTTTTTAAATGTCTCCACATAACAGAAAGAAATCCTATGAAAAGTGTAAACAACACTATAATATTCATTACAAAGGTTTCATCTATATAATTATTATGGACTTTTAATGTTGAATAGGAGACACTTTCAGTTTCTGCCTCAAAATCAGCAATGACAGTCACTGAGGGGGCACCTCTGTGCACATGTGGCACCCAGCCAGATGCCAGGAGGTCATCGCTCTAAAGGGGAAAGCACCTGTTAGCGCTTCATGTATTATTTTAGAGGCACTTGGGGTCACTGGCTAAACATTATTAGTACAAGAAAACTAGAATGTAGAATGCCCAAAACAAATTGTGCACACTGCAGAAACAGCAGACTACTTCAAGAAAACTAGGCGACAAGAGATTTAACTACATTTAAAGGGAAAACATGTACATAAGCATATAACATTCATAGCCTGTCACAAAATTCACATACAGAAATTGAGAATAACAAAATTGTAGTAAAAGGATAAGGCTCACAACAGAACTGCAGCAATAGGTGCAGTCTGTTCAGTGTGACCTTTTCACCCAGCACAACTCTTCTGAGCACACGATTTTACAGTCAAGATCGCAAAGTAATGTTTATTTTTACATCTCACTACTGCTTAAATGGAATTACGGTCCCAGTTACCTTTTGCCAACTCTAATGCAGTCACAATGGAGCAAAGAAAGGCGACCTCCACCAGGGGTGATGCCCTCTGGAGGCAGATCTCATAGCGCCTCCCAGCCCTCTACAGGGCAGTGCATCTCTAGGTTCCTGTAAGATGTCTCAAGTATTCTAACAAAGCTGCTAACACTGTAGAACTGATAAACGTGAGGAGTTTTACTCTATGAACTCTGAAAGACCTCATTTTATGATTATAACACTGCTCAACGCATTAATAGAACTGCAGATATTAAGAGAAGCGTAAGTCCTAGAAAACCCAGGAATTTTTCCGACAGTGATCACTAAGAACTGGCCCTGCTGACCGCCGGGGAGACGCCCTCTGCTGCAGAATGAAAGGACTCATTCTGGACAATTTGGTAACATCTATCTGTGTGTGTGCACTGTCACTGAGGACCCGGAGAGGACCCACAGAGGACAGCTGGGCTGGGTCAGGTCATGGAGTGTGGGTGCCAGCTGGGGGGCAAGAAGGGTCCAGACTGCTGGGCAGCTGCGGGGCCCCCGGCATGGACGTGGCTCACCAATACCCAGCAGAAAGCTGACCCTGCTTCCTCCCAAACAAGAAGTCCAGAGGAGAAAGTGAAACCCAGATTCCGGGTTTGGTTCTTTTTTTTTTTTTTTTTGGTTTTTTGGTTTTTCTCTGGTACCGGGAACCGAACTCACGACCTTGCACTTGCCAGGCAGGAGCTTTGCCGCTCAGCTAAATCCCCAGCCCCCCGGGTTTGGTTCTTTCTGAGTCCCCTGAGGTAGTGCTTTTGCAAAGTTTCCAGGCAACATTCGCATAAACCTGTATTCACCTGCACTGTTTCCTCTGGAAGTAAACCTTGGCTTGAAAAGAACTGACTGGGACAGTCAAGTGTGAATTGTCTCTTGCCTCTAACAGAGGAGTGTAGGGAAGCAGGCTCACACATCTGTCTGTAAGAAGCCTGGTAAAGCTCATGCTCAGTGCTCTATTCTCCTGATTATATGAGGAAAGAAAACTTAACTTAAAAAATACTAAACTTATAATACAGAGCCAGTACGCTACCAGGTCATTTATACACTAATATTTCTCAGAAAATTTAAGAGGTCATTAATAAAATTAAGATTTTCTTATTATACTTCATACACATTCTTAGTAACAAACCATCTGATTTCTTACCTAACAAAGGAAATGAGGCAAGTTGAGTTATGTCATGCACATGTGTATTCATTTCATATGCATCTTTCATGCATACAGTATATACGTAGAATAACATGCCTATGCATATTTCAAACATATGAAAGAAAATACAGTAAAATTGCAATGACTCATACCTAGTGATTTTCTGAGCAATTTCACAAGCTATTTCTAGCTATGAAGACAATTTTTTATCTCCCTAATAATTTATAAACTATAAAAAAATTTGGGTAGACAATGAAGTACTCAATTTTCTGATCATTTCTCCATTTAACTCAGTTATTACTGTTGTGTTTCTGCCTCTTTTATCTAATACTTTAGTGAAATGTATCCTAGAACTGAAACATCAAAAGCTCTGAGCTAGAAGCCTCTTTCACATATGGTCCCCAGTCCTTGAACACATGTGTACCTGTACATTATCTTTTCCAGGTACCTGAAAGTATAAGTAGAGTTTAATAAATTTCTTCCTGTAAAATGATCATTTGCTTTTTTTCCTGTAAAGTATATTAAGTATATTTCATGGATAAAATAGGGCCTGGATTTTATTCTCTCTGAATATGTAACATCCAATACAATACACTGTGAACAGCTTGCAACCTCAGATTTGAGTATGTAAGCAGTCACAACAGAAAACCCATCTACTACAGAAAGCACTCCTTTAAGTGACTGAACAACCTGTTTTTAAAGAAAATTTATGTCATAAGAAGAGAAACTACATATATATATACAACAAACACTGGAACCACAGAAGCGGTCTTAATATTGTCATCTGCCATATTCAAAAAGGAGAAAAAGAACAAAAAGCAAGTTACCTTTTTGTGCAAGGCATGAAACTCGCTGTACCTTTTCTCAACAAAATGTTTTCTTCCGTTCATTAGCACTTCTATCTTAAACACCTATGGAAAAAATTAAAGAGATTAATTCTACCAGCTCAAGACCCACAATCATCTGATGTGGTAAATATGTGACCATGATATATTTCATCCCTTTAATTACAGTAGTGAATTTCCCCCAAACCCAGAAGGCTCAGGAGACCCTGACCCAATAGCACTGATTAATGAGCATTCTACCCAAATGCTAATGAAGTGCGGGGTCCTCCAAAAGCAGATTTAAAGTCAAGGGATACCTAGAAGCACTAAAGTGCTACTTAATGTTTTAACCAGGTAATAGGCTTCTCCTAAAAATTATTTTATCAAATCAGTATGATGACACTGACACTGGAGTGTGACACCACAGCTGGTCCTTTGGTAAAATCTCCAGCAGCAGCATCTGTTGTGGGTATTTCAATGCGGTCAGTCCTGCATCATCGGTGAGACAACCATGCAAAGAGTAGTGTATTTTAGGTTAACTTCTCCCTAACCTGCATATTCATCTGTAGTCTCAGCAGGGCTTATTCTTCTGTTTGCAAAATGGAAAACATAGTAAAGCCTCATTTTCCCTGCATGATGCGAGTGACAGCTCGCTGCGTCCCCAGAAGGTTGAAAGGCCGCATGAGAGGCTCTCCGGGTGCACTAATTAGCCGGCACTGACATGACACTGCCTTGATTCCTGGGTCAGTAGGTCAAGACTGGGAGAACAGGATGAGAAACACTGCGCAATGCTTATGAAAATACAACATTCAGGTCGGGCAGGGAGGGCTCCTTGGCAGGAACCGAAGAGCAGGTGCTCCGCCAGGCTACGAATTTGTGTCCAACCTGCACTTTGCTAAGTGAGAGCTTGTAAACACCACAGTGAAAGAATACTGTTCAATCATTTGATAAAACTAATCTCATGTTTTAATTGGCCTTCTAGAAAAAACAAACAACTATAAAGTCACATGACATTAAAGAGTGCAAAAAAATGCTTACTTTAAGCCTAAACATAAGAACTAGTCAAATTTAACATAAATACAAGGTCACATACTTTCACTATGAAAATAGACCCCCAGAAACATATTTCTGCCTTATATCTAAACATTACTATTTTAGAAATTATGATATAAAATATAAAATCTACATTTAAAAAATCTTTCCATTTTTGTACTTCTCTGAGTCAAAGCAAAACCTTTCAGTGCATGACTCAGTTTAAGTAACCTGGTTTGAAATAAGTAGAGAAATTTTACCAACTTAATCAATATTTCATATATTTTAACAAATCTCCCTGAAGAAACACTTTTCTTTGGTGAATTAGTGAAAATGCTTTCTTCTAAAAAAATATATGCATATGCTTCAAACTCTCAGATATACATCTATTATTTTTTAGGGAAAAATTCTACTTATTAATTCACCAAAGAAAATTCTTTTTTTTTTTTATTTTAGAAATAAAAGGAGGAAAATATTAACAGACCGACAACATTTTACAAAATAGCATAGGATCAGTACAGACATTACAGAGTTACAAACAGAGTGGTAGGGAATTAACAATGCTTATTGTATTACATATTGATATCTTCAATGTAGTTTCTCATGAAAACACATATAGACATACAAAGCTAATCAACCAATGCCTCACTTTAAAGGTCCTGCCAGAGATACAATCAGGAAAACCCCAAGAAACACAAACAAGAGCAACGAAGCTTTAACTTGGCACCTCACTAATCAGCTACATCAGGACAATGGGGTAGCAATACAAGTAGTTTCCACCTGCTGAGTAGTATGAAATAAATGAAGTTACGTTCTGGGTCTAGCTATTTAAGGCTTCATCACAAATCCCACCATTTGAGTCAGCATGTTGCCACAGAATCTCCAGAACAGGAGAAGACTCAGAAAGGCTCAACCTAGTGGGCCACCCGGGAATCTGCCCCTCTTGACAGTCACAGAGATGACACGTAGGTAGAGTGTGCTTGATGGATGCCATTTCTCCCTTCGACCAGAGGTTTTATAGTACTAAGGCACACTGTTACTTTTCACATGGTGGAGACAGGGCGGTGCGGATGTGCACAGACATAAAGGAAAGTTTATTATAAACGTTCACACTTTATGATGTTATCATTGAAAAAACACACAATAGACCTAGTACTATTAAGATTTTGTTTTCTAAATTGTGGGAAAACATCTTGGAAAGCAAGTTGGATAACCAGGATTTCCATGGCAAAGTGAAGTAAGAAGTGAAGTCAATTTAATAAATCCTATTTTTCTGAATTATCATTCTAGACTTTAAAAAATCATTCTGATTTTCTGACATCCATTGTCTCTGAAATGTAAAAATTCATGTTCTCACTTTCCTCTCCTGCAAACTCCTAGTGTTCCCTAGCTCATAAGACAGTGACATCACAGGACACTGAAAGGATCCCAACTCAGTATCTGGAACTCATTTGCTTATTTATTAAACAGATATTCACTGAGGGCTTAGAATGTGCCTGGGAGTTGTTCTAGGCACCAGATTTAGCTATGAACAAAACATAAGAGCTCAACCTTCACGGAGCTTACATCTATGCACGGAAGGAGGCTGACTGCACACGCATGAACAAATATGCTGTGCAGGCGTCACCAGGGCTATGAAGAGCTCCACAGCAGGACAGGAGCCAGAGCTCGACAGGTGCTGCTCAGTGCGCTCAGGAAAAAGCCCCCTGGGCAGAGTGGCAGGAAGGGCACGGAACGTGAGGGAAGAGCAGGAAAAAGGGTACATGAGCTAATATTTTTAGGAATATAAAAGTATCTCACAGACCCTTAAATAGCCCCCAATAAAATAAAATTCACAGAGTCTAATACCCAATCAAAAAGAATCAGGACGGGCTGGGGTGGAGTTCAGGAGACAAGCACCTACCTAGCACATGTGAAACCCTGAGTCCAATCCCCAGGACCACATTTAAAACAAAGCAGCTTGAAAACACAACTCACAGTGAGAAGAAAACAATCAACTGAAATGGACTCAGAAACGACACATAAGATAATAAATAACAAAGGCATCAAAATTGTTATGAGGGAATTCCTTATAGTCAAGAACACAGGAGAAAGGAGGCATGCAACATAACAGCTCTGGCAGTCACTGATGATTTCATCAATGTCTGCAATTAAAACAATAATATAAATAGATAGGTAGAGATATGTAGATATCAATCAGAAGAAACGATTAGTAGTGAAGGCTTGGCAATTGAAACAATCCAAATAAAACAGAAAGAAAAAGGAAAAAAATAAAAGTAGATAAAGAAATAATACCAATGCAATATGGAACAATATTAAAACATGTGAAATGGCAACCCCCAAAGGAGAGGGGGAGAATATTAGGAAAAAGACAAATATTTATGAAGAAATCATGGCCATAATTTACTCAATTTGATGAAGACCACAAACCTACTGACACAAGATCCATGGACTCACACACAAGAAAAGTGGAAAACAACTACAAAAATCCAAGACTCATCATAGTCAAATTGTTTAAAACTGCAGGAAAGAGAAAATCTGAAATGCAGGCGGAGAGAAAAAAGAAACATTTCATAGAAAAAGAACCAAGTATTCTGAGAGCAAATTCTCTGATACTACTACAAATCAAGATCAGTGCATATACTGAAATTATATTCTTTTAAAAAGATGTCACAGAACTTATTTTATGCAGGTACTGCTCCCACTTCTTTAATCTCACAACCCTGTAGGGCAGGTGCTGTAAGAGACTCCCTTACGTGGTCCTCCTAGCCGTGAGGGAAGTGGGTCACTTAGGAGTAGGAGACCCTAAATATTCTCAAGTGGAGAGCACATTTCCTGTCCCTTCTCCTCCAAGGTTCAGTCTTTGGAGAGGGCTTTGCAGAAACACAGAACACAGGGAGCAGGTGAAGTGCAGTCTTCACTCCCAATCACTTCACCTGTGTTCCTGAGGGTGTAATGGGTGTGATCATGATGTTAAGTGAAGGGAATCAGACACACAGCTTAGACATCACATGGTTTTTCTTATATAAGAAACACACTATATAAATGAAGTGCAAAATAAAGACAGATAATAGGAAGTAGGGAAATAGACCTTTCTAAATAGGGAAAGAGATCAAGAAATGGAAGGAAGGGGTGGGGAGGGGATGAAGAAAGGATCAAGATGTGTTATGTACTTGGACCGATCTCCTGGGGAAATGTCATCATGTTTATTACTGCTGCAAGCACGTGCTATTAAAAAATAAGAATTGAAAAAGCAAACTTTAAAAATGAAAATAAATATTGGTTTAAATGTTTAAACATGAAGAAAAAGGAGGAGGAGGAGGAAGAAGATAAGGAAGAGGATGTTTAAACATGAAGAAAAAGGAGGAGGAGGAGGAGGAAGAGGATAAGGAGGGGGAAAGGAGGAGGAGGGGAGCAGGGGAGGGGAGCAAAGGGAGCAGGGGAGGGGAGGGGTGGGTCCACCACCAACACCACCACCAGGTCCCTGGTCAATATAACAAGCGCACAAATCTATAGTCAGGAAGTCCCTCTCTGTGTACCTCTTCCTGTCAGTGTCTGCACCCACCACACTCATCCACCTCCTTACAGTACAGTTCCAAATCTTAGATTGTATAATTTTTACTGCAGAAACAGTATACACTTACAGGAAAAAAGACCAAAAGTACAAAAGGTATAAACAGAAAATTGTACGGCTCTTACATGAGAGACTTGCCCAAGTCCTTCAAATATGAGGTATCTTACATATCCCTTCAAAATGGCCTGCATAAACACACACAAGCTCTGAATGTTTGTTACTTTATCTGCTTACACACATGGAGCCATACCTTACAGTTAAGTCACTCTGTATTTTCACTTAATATATCTCATACATGTGTATTTATTGATACATTTTGACATACCTCATTCTTTAGTGGCTACACAATACTCCTATGTATGATATAACTGTACTTGCCATTCCTGTGAATATTGTTTTTTCATAGTTTAATTAGGATTTTATAGTGGATATTTACTTATAGCCATCTGTTATATACAGTACATGGAAAGAGAGAGGACAC